CGCACGTACAGAAGATGTTTTTGTTATTAAAATTATTTATACTTTATCTATAATAAATCATGCAAAATTATGTATTGAGAAACCTCAGAAAACTCAGATTTAAGAGTTTACAGCAACAGGGGTGCATTAAATTTAAAATCGACTCACAGTATCTTTAAGTAGAGATTTCAAGCTTTTATTTGAAAAAAAGTTCATCATTTTACGATGATTTTTCGCGGAGTTGTCGTTAACCAAAGTTGACCAATTTTTGCTCAAAATTTTTCTATGTCATAATTTTTTTGAGCAGTGTATTTAGCTTTTGTAACATACATATACAAACCCCCATTCCAGAGAAATAAAAGTGTGTTCTTTGGAAGTATGTTTCTTTTTTTCCTGTAGTGGTACGCTTACAATAATGCACGCGCGCCGGGCCCACGCGCGCCCGCCACGTGACAAGAGTGGTGCGCGGCGTCGCCGCTAGGCGCCGCAGGCGCCACGACAAATCTCGTAATGAAGAATCGCCCACGCCCGCTATATGTATGACTCCGTGGGAGGTCCTCAGCCTGTTCCTCGCTTCAGGATAATGCGAGCTTACCTAGTAGGCCGTTATCCTGAAGCATCCTGAATATCCTGTACCCACGGAGAATGCTCTCCGGGCCTCAGACGTTGAGGGGAAGCGGAAGTTCCGGCCCCTCAACCCTGAGCGAGCTCAGGGCCTCCGTACACCCGGCGCCTCGTCAAATCGCCCGCCCAGGGCTAGTCTTGCCGTATCGTAAGGGGACAGCCAGCAACACGCCGCGAGCCAAGAAGAGGGGGCCGCCTGCTTCCCCCGGGGCACCCTACCTCCGAACCTCGCCGAGGAAGGTGGCAGCATCTCCCAACGGGCACGAGCGACGCCTGGACCAGGGGCCGCCTGTCTCCCCCGGGGCACCCGACCGCCGGACCTCGCCAAGGAAGGCGACAGCAGTTTCCGACGGTCACGAGCGGCGCCTGGACCCCGGGATCTCACTCCGCCCGTGGCGCCTGATTGCACTGCAGCTGCCGGACCGGGAGCGACCGCCAACGGATCCACGGCCACGACCGACCGTCGATCGGGCCACTCAGACGGAGGACGTCGTCGGTCCGCCGAGCCCTCCGCTAAGGACGCCGACACGGCCGCGAACTCCCGGACGCCCAGGGAGTCCTGTCATCCGACTCCCGCACACGCCGGCGAGGCCGCGAACTCCCGGACGCCCAGGGAGTCCTGTCATCCGATTCCCTCGCTCGCCCGGTCACTCACCGTCCGCACCGGCTCCGGCGGCTAAACGCAGCCGGCCCTCGGAGTCCTCCGGGCGGTTTGAGGAGGTGCTGCGTCGCATCACGCAGGCGTCCCCGGACCGTACGAGACTGCGCTCGGTCGTGAGCATTCCGCTCCAGCCGATTCCTTGCTTCCGCCGCCGACCCTTCGTCCAGGACCGGACGAAGGCCCTGTTCGAGCTTTTGGGGAAGGAGAACAGGCGGCGCTAAACTTCGCACCTTTCGGCGCGGGCACCTTCGGGTGCCGCCCGACTTACTTCCTACCTTTCCTGGAAGTCAATCCTTTACAAGCCTTACTCTGACATTTCCTACCCTTGTAAATATAATCCTAAAATATATCCAAGCTGTTTCTTATAACCGGAGTCGTTTGTGGATCCCTACTCATTGCGCTCCTTCTCCTGATCTACTACCTACGTCCACACTCCTTTATATTTCCGTTCTCTTTCTACAAGCGACTAAAAAATGATAATTTTTGAGTTATGTTAATGTTGTAACAAATAAGCGATATTTTTTTAAAATACTCAATATGATTTATCTTGCTCTCAATTAAAAAGACAAAGGTAAAATTATATGTATATTATGAAAGATAACATTATTCTATATCATTGCAAGTATACATACGCTTTCTTCTCATATACACGCACGTACAGGCAACGTTTTTGTTATTAAAATTATTTATAATTTATCTATAATAAATCATGCAAAATTATGTATTAAGAAAAATAGAATTTTATTTTTTCATATTATATCGATGAATGTATTATTATATCAATGACAATCCATTTTTGTGTACATTGGAATATCAATATTAATAAGCTAGTTAATTATAAATTGTATTTGCACAATAAATCGCACGTATTGATA